ATCTGTTTAATATTTTTCCTGAAGAGGTTGTGTTGAAGAATTTCATTGGTGCTTGCAATAAACAAGCGAACATTGAGTTGTGCAAATTTTTACTTGCGTTCATACAAATTTTGTAGAATAATAAATTTCTGGCTGTTGTCATTATTACACACAAAGCAATTAAAATTCCGTAGATATATAATGCAGTATCTCTGTCGTAAAATTCTTGGCTTGTAAAATTTTCAGCGTTTTTTAAAGTCTGGTTAATTAAATCTACTGTTTCATTGTCAAAATTTGAACTTGTATCTAAAGAAGTTAAATTATTCAAAGTTTCATTGTAAAATTTTGAATTATCCTTTAAAGAACTTGAATTATTATCCAAAATTTTATTAGCTTCAATTCTAAACTTTATTTCTTCTTGAGTGGTCCAAAAAGCGACCCAATAATCTGACCCACTGCTTCCAATTTGACCCAAAATAGTAAACGAGATCCAAACTAGTAGCATCATAATTGACCCACCTGCTCTAAAATACTTCCAAATTAGCGATTTAGTAATATTGCCTTTAGCCATAAGCTCCTGAGTTTCCTCCGGCTCTTCACTTTCATCCTCACTCAGCCCATTGGACACCACGGAAGTATCAACAGAGGGCGTAATTTCTTTTTCAACTGACGGGCTTCTTTCTGCTTTTTCCGTGACAGTGTCCATTAGTTTCAAGCGATGCTCATCAAATTCCGCAAAGCTTCCTTGCTTTTCAATGACTCCATTATTAAGCATCACTACAAGATCAACGTCTTTCAAGTACTGTACTTGATGCGTAATCAGAATCCTAGTTTTATTACCCAGGTAGCCTTTGATACAATCTTCAAACAAGCTTTTCCCCACATGAGTGTCAACAGCAGACAGTGGATCATCCAGAAGATAAATATCGGCGTCTCTGTAAACTGCTCTAGCTAGATTAATTCTAGCTTGCTGCCCACCACTTAGGGCAGCTCCACGCTCGCCGACTAAAGTCTTGTCTCCTTGAGGCAGTTGTACAAAGTCTTTTATTAAGGCACAAACTCGAGTGACTTGTCGGTAGCGAGCTTCGTCGTAAGGCTGGCCGAAGAGAATGTTGTTTCTTACAGTCCCGGAAAATAACCAAGGTTGCTGGCCAGCGTATGAGACTCTCCCTCCAACTGTAACGTGTCCGTGATTAGTGGGCAGCTCACCGAGAATTAATTGAAGCAGAGAACTTTTTCCGGCACCTACTGGACCAATCAACGCGCACAATTGTCCGGTGTTAATTGTGATGTTAATATTATGAAGAGTATTTACAATAGAATTTTCTTCCCAAGCAGCGGTTCCGTCTTTTATTTTCACTGTGGATTTATCAGCGGGTGCGGAGGATACCATCAATGGTTTGTTGTCTTCTAATAATAAAAAGTGCTCCAATCGCTTGACAGATACCAAACCCTCCGCTATCGCTGATATTGCTTGCGGGCAGTAGATCGCCATTGTTAATTGCAGTCTATTTAAATGCTGTGCTATTGAAAACACAATGTCTGCTGATGGGCTATTACCAGCCAGTACAAATGCCATTATTGTTAAGTAAAGTGTTATACGTTCGGTGAAGACGAAGGTTGCATAATTAAATCCCTTTAGATAAGACATTATTGTCAGGATATCGATCTCGTATTTACGTGCTATTGAAACTAACTGCTGGAATGGTACTTCCCAGGTGTACATTTTAATTACTTGGATCCCGTTTATTATTTCTGCCATCAGGCGCACTCGCTCATCGGTACGCTTGGCGATTTTGTTACGGAATTTGTAGGTCCATTTGCTGAGGTACATCTGCAGTGGGATCACCTGGATTGCCATGAAAAATATTCCAGCGAGAATTGCTGCTTGGACGCTTTGCCAAATTAAATAGCCGGTTGCTACTACTTGAAATGGTAGGATCCAAATGTAGTGGAGGAACATGAAGAGGTAGTCGAATCGAGCGACGTCGTTTGACAGCAAGTTCATTATCTGCCCGCCGGCTATTTTGTTTGCTGCTGGTGTTGATAGTTTTAGCATCTGAAAATTATTGTTGGAATATTAATATTTGTTTAGATATATTTTGTTATTTTTTGGGGATTTATTTTTATTTATTTACCTTCCGGTAGACCAATGAGGAACATGCCACTCTTACGCGCATTCCAAACTCGGTTTGTTTTGAATTCATATGGTGCTCAAGTAGTCCGAGAACGAACGATAAGAATATTACGATTGATGCATATGTGTAGGCTTCGCTGGTTGAACTATCGGATCGTGGATCGAAATGCCAGATAAGAAGTCCCATTACATATGGTTGAAGTATTCTGAAATGTAAACATTATTTATATTTATTTAGTTTCCGTTATCATATTCTTGCTTAGGAATTAAACTTAATTTTTATATTACTGAAATTAGTGAAAATTAAATTAGCCGATTTCTGAAAATTTTTAGTATTTATTTTATTGAATAATTATTTAAAAAAAAAAATTAAAATTTCATGAAAATTAAAAGAAAAAATTTCACATGTAGAAAATTTGAAAAATTATACGTGCAATTTTTTAAAAAATATTTTTTTAGTTATAATTTAATTAATTAAAAAATTACACGTACAATTTTTCAAATTTTTTACATGTGAAATTTTTTATTTTTTCAATAAAAAAAATTATTAAAATTTTCAGATAGCTAATTTAATTTTCTATTTAATATATTCAAAATATTTATCTAAGCTTGTTTTTTTTTTTTTTCTTTTTTTTTTTTTTTTTTTTTTTAATATTATTATATTTATAATAATTAAAAATTACCTGACAGCAGTGCATAGAGCTATAAAAAATCCAAACAAGGAATACGACAGCAAGTATGTATGTTTGAGAGCAGTATACAATTTTGGTGATCTTTTTTCTTCACGCGCGGCATCTTGCTCCTTTTTCCAGTTTCTGAAACGATTAAATAAATTTATTAATGTTTATTATCATCACAATTGATAAAAATACTTTTAAGAATTAATTTAGCTTCGATAAACGTTCGGATATGACATGAGACATGAGTTAGAACGCTCGTGACTTAATCTGTTGACCTAAGTCATTAATTCTTTAAACTTTCCTTACAAATTCTATTTATACTCCAGTAATATTGATCTGAAGTGTAAACAAAATTTCTTTTCTAAAACTAAAAAATCCATTATATTTATTACTCAAATTATTTTTTATTGAATAAAGAACAATTTTAATAAATTGCAGCTAAGTCTCCGTGAGTATAATTAATATTTATCAATTGTCTTCACAATAATTTATTAATATAAAAATTAATTATCACATAAGCCGTCTACTACTTTATTCCCATAATGCTATTGAATACCAAATAAAATTTTATCTCAATAATTTTCCATTACCTCTCGAGGACATCTCCAAGCGGCTCGCTCCGGTCGTCAGGTAAAACATTTGGCAAGTCTTTTATTTGCAAATCATGAGTTCTTCCGTATAAAAATAAGGGATTCATCCACCTGTTGAATTAATTACGTAAAAAAATTTAATTACAACTTACAAACAATTAATTGTAGATAAAAAAAATTGAGATAAATTTTAAATTAAAAGCAAAGTAAATTTATAAAAAGAAGAAATAAATAATTGTAATAATTATAAAAAATAAAATGATACTAAAGTTAGCCGACGTTTTTAATTTTTTTTAAATTAAATTAGAACAAAAAAATATTTTTAAAAAATTGCACTTACAGTTTTTTACAAATGAAATTTTTTTTTCGTATTTTTTTGTAAAAATTTTTAAATATCGGCTAATTTAATTTTAATAGAATGTAAAAGAGTTTGTTAACATTAAACTGTACAACTAGTACTAATAAATAAAAAAAATAATTGTAATTAATATTAAAAAAAAATAAAAAAAAAAAAAAAATAATAATTACCAAAATATTAATTTACTAAAAATATTAGCTGTCAATCGTGGATTTGGATTATCATATTTCTTACTGCTATCCATGACTTATTATTATTGATCAGCAATTTATTAACTTGGTTTTAATCACAGTCGGTTTATGTTCACCAATATGATATTCTAAAATGAAATATGAGTAATAAAAAAATATATATGGATATAACTAAGTACAATCATCAATAAAAATTGCTATGTGGGTTATACATGACGAATGACGACATGTATCTGCAACTGACTGTTCATGACTGTTGAACTACTGGTCTACTACTGATTACTAAAATAATCAAACCCCTCTTTGATATTTTTACTCATATACAATGACTTTACCATATGTTTGTATATACATAAATATAGATTTGTATGTTAATATATATTTACATCGACAAATATTATAATCACTTTAAGATTATGATTAATACACTACAATTACCATAATTCTTGTCAGCTGATAATTTATTTTATTTTGAAATTTTTTGAAAAAAAAAATTATAAATAAAACACTGTAAAGTTAGCCGACGTTTTTAATTTTTTTAAATTATTAAATTAGAACTAAAAATATTTTTTAAAAATTACACTTACAAGTTTTTTACAAGTGAGATTTTTTTTAAATCATTTTTTCAATATATAAAAAAAAAATTCTAAAAATTTTTAGATGTCGGCTAACTTAATTTTCATATAAATAATTAATAAATAAAAAAATATAACAGATAATTTTTAAATGTCACTAATTATCGATCGTACTGTTGTAAACTGCCATTGGTTATTTATTCCAGATAAAAAAATAAATAATAATTATTTAGATAATTGACAAAGGTTGGCGTCCTTCGTCCAGGTGCGCGTATGTCAAAACAAATTAATTTTTATTTTATATATTAAACTTGTAGTTATCGCAGGTATCTAATTTTTTAATTGTTTTATTTATAAAATAAATATTTACTAAATTTTCACTGATGTATTTTTATAAATATTCTTTTTTAGACGTCAAGTAAGAGGAAAAGTCTGAGATGTTAAGAGGTTATGTAAATAACAACAGGACTAAATTGTCACAAGGATTTAAATGGCATTTTCTTTAAGAGCTGGTACTAATTGGTGTCATGATTTTCCTAAGCTCGCTAGAGAGTCAGGATTTTATTTTAATGTCCATCGTAATAAAGTTAGAGTTGATTGGAATCGGATAGGTAAGTCGAGTGGCAATCGAGATTGTCCCAGTTTTTGGTCTTTTGTGATGTTGACTTATATGTTAATAAATATATAAATATATATGTATATGTATATATATTTATTCTACTACGTAATTCCCTAATTTATGGATTATTAGCTATGCAAGTATTTATCATTTTTTTATGAAACTAAAATTAGCCGGCAGCGAAAAATTTTTATTAATTGAATAGCAATAAAAAAATACTTTTTAAAAATTGCATGTATAGTTTTTCAAATTTTTTACATGTGCAATTTTTTCTTTTAATTTTTTTGTTATTATTTTATTAATAAAAAAAATTTCTAAAAAATTGTCAGCTGTCTGCTAATTTTATTTTTATTAAAATTAAATTAGCTGACATTTGAAAATTATGATAATTTATTTTATTGAAGAATAATTTTTAAAAAATTAAAACAAAAATTTTCACTTGTAACAAATTTTAAAAATTATCCGTGGAATTTTTTAAAAATAGTTTTTTAGTTGTAATTTTTAATTTAAAAAAAAGCAAAAAAATTTTTGAGTTTCGGCTAACTTGATTTTCATTAATTTTTTGTGATTTTTATATGAAAATTAATGGAACACATATTTAATCATTTTAAAAATTTATTAACAAATAAATTATGGCAAAAAAGTGAAAATTAGAAATTAAAAATGCAATTTTTTAAAAATTATTTTTTCGAACAAATTTTTTTTTGTTAAATAAAATTAAAAAATTGTCAAGTGACAGCTAATTTGTGTGTCATTATTTTTATCTATATCATAAATTTGCTCAATTTTTTTTTTATTTAAATATTCACTCATGTAAAAATTATTAATGAATTATTATCAGTAAATTTTTAATTAATTTGAATTTTATTACTAAATTTTTATGATATTAAAGTTAGCAGTCACTTAATTTTTTTTAATAAATTAAATTTTTCCAAAAAATTATTTTTCAAAATTTGCATTTTTTATTTTTTAAATTTATACACAATTTTTTTTCTAATTTATTTATTAAAAAAATTATAAAATATCTGCTAAATTAATTTTCATAAATTTTTTAGTAATTTTTTTATGATTTATCTTTTTAGATAAAATTTTATACTCTAAAAAAAATTACTTATATACATTATTTACTTTGACCACAAAAAAAAAAAAAAAAAAAAAAAAAAAAAAAATAAAACTATTTCTCCTTATCTTAATAATAAGAAAAAAAAATTAAATAGACCAGAAACTGGAGCATAATTTTTAAAAATAAATAAATTAAAAAAAAATATTTTTCAGGTTCTATAGACATAGACCGGCTGATACGTGAGCGAGATTTTTCAACAATAGACGAGAACATAAATAACGTAGTAGACTACAATTTAGAAAGCGAGTATGACATAAAAATCCTTGATCCAAATTTTGTAAAATTATTCCGACTTGCCCAATTGTCCGTCGAGTACTTACTTTACTGCAAGCAGTACCTAGACCACAGTGTAATAATTTTAAAAGACGAGCTGCGTTTGAAGCTAGAAGACAACGTGAAATTAAAGAAAAATTTAGCAGCCGCAGAAGAGTCTGTAAAAGAATTGAAAGAAAAATTGCGTGAAAATTACAAATTATTCGAGAAGACATTAACAGACTCTCGAGGAGAAGTTCACAAGTGTCCTTATTGCCCGAAATCTTTTAAGTCTGCTATTTTTACTAATTTACATATCAACAGGCGGCATTCAAACTCACCACAGGTGTCTATTTTATCTCCAGTACACGATCAATACAAAGCAGAAACCGAGAAGCTTCACAATGAAATTAAAACACTCAAAGAAAGACTCAACCAGACTGAGCGAATTGTCAGAAATGAATCCAGTAAATTGTATGAGAGTATCGAGCAGCGGGACCGAGATATTTATGAAAAAAATAACAATCAGGATAAGATAGAAGAAGAACACCGTAAATACCGGGAAGAAATAAGCAACTTAACTTCCATGTTATTCAGCGAAATAAAAAATCTTAAAATAGATGATAAGAAATCTCAAGTGGATGAGACCGAAAAATTTAAGCGATTGCTCAAGAGCCAAGAGGATGAGTTGACGAAATTACGCGATCAAGTGCAAGAGCTCTCACTTGATAAATCCAAGCCTGATATTGAAAGTATACAGATAAAATTAAAGGCTCAGGAAGAGTACTGGCAAGCGAAGCTAAATCAATTGGAGGATCAGCACGCTAAAGATATCCAGAAGTTATCTAATCAGTTACAAATTACGCAAGATTCTACAATGTTGATTAGAGATGATTATGTAAGTAAGATAAGAGATCTTGAAGAGCGATCTTTAGACAGTGGAAGGTGGATTAGTCCGAAGATTTCGCCTGCGCGTCGTAGAAGAAGAGCTGAGAATTTTGTTACTAGTTTGGTGGAACGAGAAAGACCCTCTGAGTTTAATAAATTAAATGAGGTTGATAGAACTGATAGCGATGAGTCGGTAAATAAATTAAAAAAAATACTTGTTACTTCTGCTGAGGTTCATAATGTTTCTCAGCAGAAAGTAGTAGGTTTTAAAAATGATACTGTTTTGGGGAAAGGAGGTAAAGAAATTAATTTTAATTCTTGGACTGTAAAAGATGTTGATATTAAGAAGCTGGATCTAAAAAATGATGTTAATATTAAGAAGCTGGACCAAAGAAATGATGTTGATATTAAGAAACTGGACCAAAGTATTGAGAAAAAATTTAATGTTAAAGATAGTTTTAAGCCAATTGCAAGTTGTATTAAAGAAGAAAAAAATAGAATGGATATTTCGAGTGAAAGTGAGTCTGAGTCAGGAACTAGTTTGGAGTCTGCAAGCTTGAGAAGTGAATCTGGGTCTGAGACTGGGTCTGAGAGTGAATCTGAAGACGAAAAAACAGAGTCTGAAGAAAAAATTCCTGTAAAAAATTTAAAAGCCGAAGATGATAAAACCAAAAAAGATATCAAAAGAAAAGTTTGGGAAGATTTTGAGCAGAAATTAAGAGACCTGGGGATTGATCCAGACTGCGATGAGATCTCAGAAGAGATTTATAAGCGATCGATGGAGATGGTGAAGCACCACCGTAATCTCTCCGCGAGAAAGTTTGGAAAGTTTGAAGAAATACGACGAAAAATTCTCAACCAGCTGCATGATAAATTTCCTAGGAATGAAGTTAGAAAATCTCCGCTTAGAAAACTTGTCAGCAGTGTTAAGTCGCGGGCTGTTAAAGCTTTTAGCAATCCTAGTCAAGCACCTAGTCAGGAACATGTTCCTAAATTGAAGGCTAAAGTGATGAGTCCTGAAAGAAGCGTGAGTAATAAGTTTAATATGGAGCTGCTGCCTAAGAAGATCAGCCAGCAGGAGTTACCAGTGAGGAGAGCAAGCAGGGATGGTAATCCAATGTCGCCTGGGCATGAAAGGTACACACCTAGTCCTAGTAAGAATAATGCAAAGCCTTTTAGTCCAGAGCCAATTGTTGATACTAAATTGTCGCACTCTTATGAGAGTATTAAAGATTATATGAGAGACTTTGGGAAGAAATCCTCACCTGGTTCTGCTTCTGCTTCTGGTTCTCCTTTGAGGTCTCCGTACTTGAGCAAGGTTCTAGCAACCTCGACACCGCACAGAGCTGAGATAAATGTACTTCCTAGTCATCGCGCTTCTGTGTCTGATTTGTCTAGTCCTGTTGCGAAATTACGGGAGTTTAGTTTACCCAGCTCGCCTAAGAACAGCAAGAGTGTTCTGAAAACTGCCAGTGGGTCCACTGGGAGCTTGGTTAAGAAGAAAGTTCTGTTTGATCTTGAACCGATGACAGACACTTCGGAGAAGATTGACAAGCTTGAGACAAATGGAGTTATTTCTTCTTCTAAAAATAAAGTTAGTAATGAAGATGATGACAGTGAGAGTGATTATGAAATTTCGAGTATTTCGGAAGAAAAATCGGACTCTAAAATACTTGAGCCAGTTAATAATTCTAGTATTGTTTTAAAAACGTCCCAGAGCGAAAAAATAGCTCAGATTTCAAGGAAAATAGAATCTCAGTTGAGTTTAACGAGACACAAACCTGCTGGGGCAGTAGAAGCTATGTTCAAAGGTTTTAATCTTCATGATGAAGATGATGATGATGGGTCTTTGGCTGGATTCTCGGTGGATAGAAACAATGTTAATGTACAAAGTTTTAATAAGGTGATTAAACTTCCGCAACCTACTCCACGGACTCAAAGAATTCGTGTGAGTTCGCCTGATAAATCTGCTGAGAAAGATTTTAATTTAGATAATGATATTGATGAAATACTTAATTTAGATTAAGGTTTATTTTAGTTAATAATTATTAATTAATTATTTATTTATTACCTGGTCGCACAAATTTGAATAGTTGTTGGATTGTATTTTTTTATAATTATTTTTTACTGAAGAGTGCCTTCTAAGTCACTGAGTGTGTACAAAAATTTTTTTAATAAAAATAGTGACTTAATTTAGAAGGTTTTTTTTATTTTTATTAATTTATTATGTACAGTTAATTAGGGGGAATTTATGGAAAAAATTGAGGGATTTAGCCCTCTTTCCAATTGTAAGCACATTGAGCGCATCTGTAGAAAAGGGTCATAGGTTCATCAGCGGAGCGCGTTTGAAGCTGCATGAAGTAAGCTCGCTTGTGTGAACAGGTAGGACAAGTTACTTCGGTTGACTCGACGTTCTTCCAGGCTTCTTCACCTCCAAGAACATCGTCAATTTCCTTCAGCTTAGGGTAGTTTCGCGTTGATATTTTTCGGGTTACTTTGAAAATGTACGGGCAAGTTGGACACTCCAGGCGCATTTGGCGGTCCTCTTCGATCTGGAGAGCGTTTCCACATGATGGGCAGAATAACAACATTTTTCTGTAAATAAAATTATAGTTAATTTTTGTAATATTTATTTTAGGTGTGTTTATTAATTTTTAATAAATTTAATGTCTTAAAATTAATTTTTTAGAGTTTTTGTAACAAATAAATTATAACAAAAAAATTAAGTTGTAAAAATTTTTCAAAAATTAGAACTGCAATTTATTAAAAATAAATATTAAATAACAATTAATTTTAATACTTAAATTAGCTGATATTTGGCATTTTTTTTATTTTCATTAAAAATTAATTATGAAAAAAAGTATTTTTAAAAAATTTGCATTTCTAATTTTTATAACATTAAAGTTAACAATCACTATACAATTTTTTAATTTTTTTAACAAACAAATTTGTTTTAAAAAATTGCATTTTTTATTCTTCAAAATTTTTGTCATTTTTTTATGACATTAAATTTAGCAATCACTTGATAATTTTTTAATTTTATTTAATAAATAAATTTGCTCCGAAAAATTATTTTTAAAAAATTGCATTTTTTATTTATTTAATTTCCTGAATGTCAATTTTTTTTTCTCATTTACTTTGACATAATTTAATTGTTAAAAAAAATTCTTAATATTATAAAATATCTGCTAAATTAATGTTCATTTTTTTTTGCTATAATTTATTAGTTATAAAATTATTAAATATATGCTAAAATAATTTCCATGTAATTGTTTTTCAATTTCCAGAAGTGGAATTAAAAAAAAAAAAAATTTTTCACAATAATTTAGTAATAAAAATCCAAAAAATTGACCAATTGTTAATTTCAGTATCATAATAACAACAATGACATGGAAAATAAATGTGAATAATTCAGATTAAAAAATTAAGTATCTGCAATTATGTTTATTAAATAAATATTTGTAATTAATTAAGAAAAAATGGATTATTTACCTTGACTAACAAATTTTATTTGTTAAGAATGAATCCTGATGATATTTTTACAAGTATTGTATCACAACAAACTTTAATCAATGTGATATTTGACTTTTTTAAATTTTTTTAGGTTATACAGAAACTTAACTTGAATTTATCTTTTACTAACCTAATGGCGGGATATTTGAAAAATTTTGATTTATTATTTATTATATTAATAAAATGTATAAATAAATTAGCCATAAATTACAAATAAAAAAAATATATATTTAGTAAAATAAGTTACTTTTAAAATTAATAAATAACAAAAAAATTTATTAAAATTCCGATATTTTTTTCCAAATTTATTCTGAACCCTAGAAAGAAATTAAATAATTATCATTGATAAGAACAAAGAACCTCAAAAACAGTAGCCCCGAAGCATTTTAACGGATGATTAGCTGTCAAAAATCTGAGCAAAGTTTCATGAATGTCATTGTCAGCAGGAACATCCGGAAGAAGACTATTAACAATAGGAATAATTTTTGCGAAAGGTAACTTAGAATTTTCCAAATTGTGAACAATAAGATAACTTTCCGCGACTTCTTCAGTCATGGAGGAAGAATTATCAGTAGATTTATTAGCAACTTTGTCAAAAGTCTCGGAAATCTTGTCGACTATCATAACAAACCCGCTCCTAATATTAGACTGCATCAGAGTTTGAAATTGTTGACTCTCCAGAAAATCAAGAGTGATATTAAGAATATCTTCCAGCTGATAATTATTTTCGATGTTCAAATTTTGTGGAAACACATACTGTCTAAAATTCTTAACCGGGTCTCCAGATTTATCATCTAAAATACTAGACATTATGCCTAGATAAATTTGCTCGAGTTCTTTTAAATTAAATTCGTCTTTCAGCGAAATAGACTTTAAAACTTCTTCAATTTTTTTTTTTATAAACAGTGACAACTGCTGGATACCTCCTTCCATAAAATAATTGGTCAAATTTAAATAAACCTCCTGGATTCTTTTTAGCTCACGCTCTTCTTCGGGCTTAGAGGAGTTTTCAAACATCGATGCGCTGATTATGTTCATTTGGAGCCGCATGATTAGCACCAGCATTATATCAGCGTAAATAATTAATACGGATTTACAAATAGAATTAACTTTTAATTCGTTCCAACAGGCTATTTTATCACAATTGCCGGCTTTTAATTGGTCTATTATTTCTTGACAGCGGATTAATTTCAGAACTGAATTTCTAACACACCTTCCTAGGTTTGAGATCGCTTGGGTACATGATTTTTCAGTGCACTCGAAATGCTGCTTTAGCTTTGAATTCAACATCCTTTTTTGCATTTCTTGCTTTTGCCATTCTATTAATTTATATTGACTGTACCTTAAAAGACCGTAGTAAGTGCCAACAATAGCTCCGCCGATGGCTAACTTACGACTGTGTCTTCTCAAAAAATTATTTATGCTTCCAAACATATTTATTTTATTAAAAATACTGCTTTAATGGCACTGAGGTGAATTATCGGAGAAATTTAATTTTAAAAACAATTATTAAGTGCTACTTTCTTGTCAGATTCATAACATTAGTTTTAATCTAGAAAAAAAAAATTTTATTTATTTTAATTAGATAAATAATTAATTACACTGAAGTTGACGGACATTAGACATTTTTTTTTTAATTTTATGACATTAAATTTAGCAGTCACTTAACCATTTTTAAAAATAATATATTTTATTTTTTTTAAATTTCTACATGTCAATTTTTTTTTCTACTTTTTGTTTGCCATAATTTATTTGTTAAGAAAAATTCTTAAATTTATCATGAAAATAAATTTAGCCATCTAAAAAATTTTATGATTTTTTTTTATTAGAGAATTATAACAAAAAAATTTTTTTTCATTTGTTAAAATCTTCAAAAACATAAATTGCAATTTTTAAAAAATATTTTTTAGTTGTAATTTAATAAATTAAGACAATAAAAAAAATCAAAAATGTCGGCTAACTTTATTATTATTTTTATAGCAATTAAATTATTATGAAAAAAAGTTTTCAAAAAAAATTCCACAAGTGTAAATTAAAAAAAATTATTAGTGGAAATTTTTAGAAGTTTTTTTATGGTAATTGTTTGGTTATAAATATTTTTAAAATTGACAGTTGTCAGCTAACTTCAGTATTGTAAATAATTAATGTTAATAATTTTTGTAGAAAATATATTACCTTTGGAAGAAGTCTCGTTGTACTGGACTGATATTTTATTTGTTTATTTTAATTAAATGGTTTTGAAGATGTTGAAAATAAATAGAGATTTGATATTCGTTATAACAACGTGGTAAATATAGATATATTATGTTAGTTCAACAACAACTTGGTTGTGTGTACATTTCTCAACCGGAGTGATAATAATAATAATAAGAAGAAGAGTTTATAATCAACGCCATTAGGGAACTGAGCTGCCTTGTGGCAAAAAGATACATTAGATTAGTAGATAAGACAGAAAACTATTATTTCAAAACACGCCCCCAATCTCAGTGTTTGTTGACATTCGACGCTATTGTTATGGTAGTAAACATGGATATTTTTAAATTACCAATAATAATATTATTATTTACAACAAATACTTTTGTAATAACTGAAGAAGAATTTTGTTCGATTGAGAAGCCATCATGTTCTGACAAAAAACAATATGAAGAGTTAAGCGGTAATTTTTAATTTTTTTTTTGTTTGTTTATGGTAATGACAGTTAATTGTATACGTAACAATTATTCAAATTTTTGAATAAAAAAACTGGCAACCTTGTAGTCACTATGTGACTGCCGTGACTTGTGAACTATAAATGAATAAAATTTTGCTGTATTAAATAATGACTTTTGTTAAATTGCATTGTAATTTCTTAATTATTGATATTTTTAAAGATATAAGCTCACCCTGACATTACACTCATCGAGACCTTTCATTTGAGTACCTACAAGCATTTTTGATATATTTTTCATATATACATATATAAATATATGAAATATATGAAAAATTGATATGGGTACTCAAATGAAAGGTCTCAATGAGTGTGATATCGGAGTGAGCTTATATCTTTAAAAATATCAATAGTTCAGAAAATAAAAGGTCATTTCTTAATTATTGACATTTTTAAAGATATAAGCTCATCCCGATGTTACACTCATCGAGACCTTTCATTTGAGTACCCACATGCATTTTTGATATATTTTTTCATATATACATATATATAATATATATAAATATATGAAAAAAAGATGTAGGTACTCAAATGAAAGGTCTCGATGAGTGTAACATCGGGATGAGCTTATATCTTTAAAAACGTACAGTGCAATTTAACAAAAGTCATCATTTCATAAAGCAAAATTTTATTTATTTATAGATCATAAGTCACGGAAGTCGCCTAGTGACTGCAAGGTTGCTAGTTAATACTAAAAAAAAAAATAATTTTTTTAAGAACTTACATTAGCTTCTGATTCAAGTATCTCTTTTTGAACTAATAGCTTCCTTACATCCCATTTTAGTGCAACTTTATGATGATTTTCATATAAATAATTATGAGATTCTAATAAATTTTGTGCGAGGATATTAAAGGACAATATTTTGAATGAAAATTCTGTCTCTGAATTTATTGACTCTGACTCTGTAACAATTAATGTTTTTTTTTTTTTTTTTTTTTTTTTTTTTTTTTT